GTTCTTACATTTGCTAATTTTTAAATGTAGGCCAAAATACAAAAGGCTAAAATACACCACGACAAAACCCAAGGATCGCCACACTAACAATCTTTCATGCCTATCTGTGCCTTGCTTCTTTGTGTTCCAAATAGGATTGTGTTGCTTTTATGATGCCACGATAAAGCTTTGGCGATAAAACAAACAACACAAAGCTTCCTTTATGAAGTCCAAATAAGACAAAATAAAGACACGCAAGCCAAAAATAAGGACAAATCATAGAAATAAGGACGGTGTGGAATACCTGGGTATAACAGTGAACGCAGTGCATTTCTCCCGTATCTTTATCGTGTATGACGTAATTATCCGTGTGAACTAAAGCGTACGACTTAAAACACTGTAAATCGCCAAAGCCACACTGTATACTCGGTCACCATACCATGGTCACTGATGTTGAACCAAGTGCCAGTCATTATTAAAAAAATGCTTAAATTTAACGAATTCCCAAGACCGCACAAACATACATCTCATTCGGACAGTACACCACATATTTTATGTCCACAGATTGCCGTAGTATTTTAGAGGAGTAAATACCCTTATTTTAGAAGAGTAAATAAATTTTATCGGAAAGTCGAGTGCTGAGCGAGTTGAACATTTGAATAAATATGACAAGACATTTTAAATGCTCGTATCGGCAATTGATTGAACATTTTGCGCAACAGAAAAATTGTTATCCGCTTATAAAGTCGGTTTTTTTTAACGAGCGGCGACTATTTTAGAAGCCGAATTCAATAGGAATTTCCGATTTCAAATCCACCCTTCAAAACATCCAGGCCGCGACCCTGTATTTGGGGTCTGTGTTAGTCAAACATCGCCTGTTGTCGACTTTGTGCTTCAGGTAGGCTACTTGTCTTCTTATGTGAATATTTGCTTTTCGTTTTGCGGAAAATTACTGTGTCTTATTTTAATTTTCTTTTGAAAAATAACACTTGGGCTTGTTTTGGGGGGATGTCTCTTATTTCATTTATCAAAATCAATTTTCTAGATAGAGAATTACGAGTTTTCCGAATATACAAAATATGAAAACCGATATCAGTTTACTTATAAATAACACGTTTATTTAAAATAACTGCTAAACATAGATTATTAATCATTTGAAACGTGTACGAGAGATTTCTTGCTATCGACAAAAAATTTGCGCCATCGACTAGGTGTAATTTTAAAAGAAGAGCTTATTTTCAGGCTAAGTCTTATTTTCGAAAAAACACGGTAAATATAAACGAAGAAAAGTCTATTGTTACGAAACAATCGGATATATTGCGCAACTAAAACTATATAACTGATCGGAAATGCGATTGTTCCAGGTTCCAATAATTATTTATTCACTGCACGATGTAGGCAATGTGAATGAGGACTCAGCGTGGTTCTTTTGGGCTAATTTGTATCTCAGTGTTGTGAAACATATGACAAAACAAAAACCCGCAAGAAAAATGACCAATGAGCTATTTAAATTAAATCTAAATGTTGGAATCGCAACCAAATGCTGGAAAATAGCATGCAAAAGTGCGATAACGAGCCGATGTTTTGAAAATCTACCAGATTATAAAAATGTCTGAGCAGCTGCTCATGTTTTAATTGTTACATCACTGTTTTCTTACGAGTTGCAGCGAAAGCGTGAAAATGGCTTGTTCCATTAGAGACAGGTTCTAGCACTTAGAACAGAAGTGGGCAAGGGCCAAAAATATCACGCACCTAGACAGGACGGTCATGTACGTGTGACGTAGAAAGTTACATTTCATGAACAGAATTTTATTTACAGTGTTGAAAAAGCAAAAGTGGAAAACAATAAGCCTCGTGCCAAAACTAAATTTAATCGAAATTATTAACAAATTTCTTGAGGAATTTCTTTTGCCGTCGGCATATCAACAGCTGCTGATATCAGAATTTTCTAAATTGAAAAGCGGCAATATCAAAATACTAAAAATAAAACGGAGAACACCAAACTTTTGTTTTATGATGGTCCGCGACCGATTAAAAACGCTTTTTAGACATTGCAAATCGCAAAATTGTATACGTACCAGGGCATTTTCCTTAGGATTCCTTGCTTTACTGCCTCCACATTGGTACGTACAGTACTGGAGCGCCGTAAGTGTTGCACGATCATCTCAGATTTGTCGAATTCACAAAATTACGAATCAAAACAGAATACGAGAATATCGGTCAGAAACCGAAGACTTATCGATCGAAAGTTAGGGGATCCCCCAAAACAGCGCTCTTATTCCATAGTGACACCTTGTGTCCCATCACTAATTAATTAATAACTCGCTAATTATACGACATAATTCGCCCAAAATCAATAGGCGTCTGGTTCGAGATAAGATTAATGCACATGCAAAATCTGGAGCAGATTCAATCTCGCTTTCGTGAGATATCGCGTGCATTTAACAGACATACAGACAGACGTACTTACAGACGATTAAAATCGATAAGTAACAATACCTTACGTTCTGTAGTAAATGTAAACTTTCTGCAATTCGCGAAATTAAACTACTCTGTTAAAACAAGCACATTGATAGTTCGGGCCAGCCATGGTGAGACGGTTCCACGCATACCCATTCTACAATCTGATCAAGCTTGGCGACATAATAAGTGGGCACTGGAAACAAATTTACATAGAAATTATAGTTGAAGTTTTGATTTAATTAAAAGTTCAGACCTGAGCACAATCTGAGTCCTGAACTAAGGTTGTGTACCAGGTTGGGGTTCAGGTTATGCGACATCTTGGTGCGCACACATCAGGAGTACCAAAAGTTCAACTATCTGGACAACGATTATTCTAGTGGGTTTAGGCTCGTTTAGGAGGTCAAATTTTTTGCAAGCAAGCAGACACAATACCGGCAGTAGACTAGAGAGTACATTAACCGTCATCGTTACCGGTTACTTTCCCCGCCATCAAGCATCTGAAACAAATAACTGACATTTCAGGAACAAATACGAAAATAATATCTATCATTCTGCTCTAAACTTGTGTGATTATTAACACATATGATTAAGGCCACCAAGTATGGCTTGGTGTCACGGTATTTGTTGTCACGGCGCTTTAGCCAGAAGAATGTTTAATGAACCATGCGAAATGCTGTCAGTTTGATGTCCTAAATCATTCGCTATGTTTGCGAATTCCGAAGAAGTTTGCTAATAATTAAACATCTTAAAAGATGACGCCTTGTAGATTTAACCTTCATAGTTTCAAGTATTTTACCGTTTGCCTTTGGCAATGTGTTGTTGTGACACTCACTGACAACGAGTTAAACAAAGTAATTTTATTGCAGCGCCCAGAGTCTTGATCGTACAATCCTTGTTATAGATTGAGACTGGAAGCCGTTGATTAGAGATTAGCAAGTCAAGTTGTAAGCCCACTGCGTTCCCCAAAATGCGAACATTGTAGATATGGCAAATCTTTGCGTAATAAGATTTCGATAACTCAAAATATAGTATCGCCTAAGTACATGCTTTCCCAGGGCCTTGTTCGAAGAAAAGTTTGAACTGCGAATCCACATTAAGATCTATCTGTGGATGGAAAATTAGTGGTTTTGTGCGAATAAAGTTCAGGAAGAATGTAGTTTTGCAGGAAATAACTACTGGGAAAATGTACGTTTGCGAGAATATAGTTTCGCGAATGCATAGTTTTGTAAGAGATATATGAAAATCAGATCTAAAGTTTGTTCGCCTTGATTCGGATTTTAAAACTTCCCAGCGTTGAATTGTTCAATTTTCTACAGACAGAATTCCAGCCTTCTATTATGGTATGAAATGCTTTTTAGAAACCTCTAAAAAATATTTGACTTTACGAAGCATTTACGCAAAGTTTTTGTTATCAAAATTTTTAATTATCTCCTGTTTGAAGTCGGAGCCGAAATTCTCACCAACTCGGAATATGAACCAAAATATTTCCATCTGGAGTCCATCTTGAATTTTTCCCCATTTCAAAGACGATGTAATGTGTGTTATAATTTCGTGTCGATTAAGCCAATTACTAATGTTCAAAACCAGTCTCAATTTTAACTATTCGTTCCAACGAAATCCTGGTATGATAAACAGTTAAATATTAGTTAAACACGATTGCGTGAGAAGTGTTTTGTGACAGATTTATTGGCCACATCGACTCCTCTCGTTGTTTGTTCTGATGATAAATAGCTTGGGTCTTTAAATCTAATGAATGTATGATGATCATAAATCTTTCCAGTCGTCTAGTACACTATGCTATTCGTTTATGATTTATAAGTCGCACAGACTATTAATCATAAACGCAATATAATTGTGCGCAAACCAGTTGGCCTAAACCAGGGGTCGACAACCAATTGTCGTTCGCGTGGCAAAATTAAGGGTTGCAAGTCATTGGCGGGCCCGACATATTTTTAGAAAGTTGAAAACCGAGCGGATCAAGCTTTTTATAAAAAAAATCAAGCCGTGATACATTGCATTACATCTCAAAAAATACCATTTGAATATTTCCGGCGCAATTGAACCCTTTGCAATTAGCATCAACTTTTCTGCGTTTAATTGCCATTTGTCTAATTACAATTAAATTATTATAAGCTCATTAAACAAGTAATTGTGAATTTTAATATAATTCAGTCTACACGTGTTCCTCTATCTTGCCTCTCCTTAAAAATACTTAAATTTAAAAATAGATTGGCCTTTGAAGCTTTCCCAACAATTACTACGTGCGCCACGTTTAACAATAAAAAAAGCCAACAAACAAAAACGAAAAATATATGCGTTACAGCCAAATGAAAAAACAAATCAGAGTTAACCTACATAAAGTCATGCCAAATGGTACCCAGTGACGGGATTGGCTCAAGACCCCTAAGTACCGATCCGTGGTTCTTTTTTAAAAACCTGGATCAAGATCAGTAAAAATTTTAGCCCGAAACATGATCCCAACCAAGTCACTACTTTTGTGCAACGAGTTACACACGTTCTCAACGGGAAACTCTGTTTAATGCATTTAGGTACAGTTTGTGTTTGAAATTATTAAAAATATAGACTAGATAAACTGACAATACACAAAATGGCTGAAGGAAAACATTCCGTTACCGTCAATGTCAACATTAGTCAAGAAGAAACGAAGATTGCTGGAGACAAAGTCAAGTAAGAAATAAATGATTGAAATATTTGAAAATAGATTACCCTTATAGCATTGAACCGAAATTGATAAAGCATTTTGATCTTGATTTGAGTTCTGCGAAAGCTCACAAAATTAAACTTGCGAATTCCAAACCCGTTTTGATATAGTATCCCAGGTATTCTCCATTTACAAGAAAATCAAACGCTGTTCTGATTCCACAGCCATGGTTTTCGTTGAGAATTTTCAGCCAACTGCTTTTACTATCACGCCCAATGTAATTAAGTCAATTATTCATTTATTTCCAGGCAGAAGACGAATGCTGTTGATTGCAAAGTTGGCCACCTGGGTCAGATTGTCGTCCCAACACCAGGTATATCCCCAACCTAAATATTCTTTCTCGTATTCTCACTGGTACTTAGAGTTTGTTAAAAAATATTCAACCCATTCTCAGGTAATTCTCAACCCGAAGCTACTCAGCCGAACACGCTGCAACATAATTTGATTCCAGAAAATGTTTTCAATGAATCAGAAGAAGAAGAAGAGAAAGTAAAAAAGCCATCACCGGGGTTTAAACATGGTATGTCCACGTGTTTCGTGTTTATTTGGGCTGTGATTGACATAGGGCAATTTATGACGAATACGCTGTAGCACAAACGTATGGAGTCTACACCATATGGACAATGCTAATTCAGCCGGCTCGCGCCTTCGAAACAAGAGAGCAATGCTCAAATATATGGACACTCAGAACAATTCCCCAAAAATCATATGCGGTGAATTACCAGTACCTGTATAAATAAACAAAGCACCACATCACAGTAATCAAACAGACAAAAACACGGTGGTCGCATATTGGTTGACAAAGATATTATCGACGTATTGGAAATGCGCACTCCCCTATTCCACCTCCTTTAAATGTAAAAACGAGAAACCATCAAAGATGGTTAAAAGAAACACAACTCCAGCAACTCTACCAACCTGCCAAGTTTCATCTTTTTATCTCTTATATTTGTATGGATTTTCAAGCTTTTGACAGCTACGAGTTAGATCAGTGTCACCGCGCTGTGTCACAGTACCAAAACTTCTCTATCTTTAAAAACATTGGGCTTCTAATTGCATTTCTGACCGTCATATATTTTAAGAACACGGTTATTTGGAACAAAACTCGTCAAATTATAAACAAAGCACCACATCACAGCAATAAAACAGACAAAATATATCGACGTATTGGAAATGCGCACACCCCTATTCCCCCTCTTACCTGTAATGCCGGACGCTCCTTATTTGCCAAACCAACTTATTCGATTTATCACGTTATTATAACAGCAGATACCACAGCGAAGCATTCCGACCACAGTCTATAGATATATTCACACCAAGCGAAGCAGTACAGTACCGGTACGGTTTACCGTACCCCTAGACCACAGCCTACAAATATATTCACACCAAGCGAAGCAGTGAAGTACGGTTTACCGTACCTCTAGACCACAGTCTACAAATATATTCACACCAAGCGAAGCAGTACAGTACGGTCTACCGTACCTTTAGCATCACCGCCATTCATCGGTAACCTCGAAAAACTTGCGATTCTTGAGTAACGACTTTCATAATCAGCCGTCACGCCAACATTCGATGTCACGTGATCAAAAAGAGGAGTACCTGCATATGCGTCCGCAGAACGTTCAGTGACGTCATAGCAAACAAAAACAAATCTCATAGAGCTAACAGAAATATTTGAAATAAATAAAAGTAATAGCCTTCTGGAGAAAAATTTCATCTTTAACCACTAGAAATTTCAAAGCAATTGGTCCAGTGATCGAAGAGAAAAGCGTTTTTTTTTAGATTTTCCACTAGGTGTCCAAAAAGTGTCAAAGAACAACAACAACAACAAGACCAACATAATATTGGAACGATCGTTATGTCCACTTCGTGTCCAATAAATAGGCTAATCTGAAATATACCATAGGCTCTAATCTGACAGCGTGTTGGACTATTATTCATAAAAAAACGCTATAGCCTGCAAACCTGAAACCTAAACTTTTTATAAGATTCGGCGTGGAAAAAGATTTTGAACACGTAAATATTTTAATATATTCATATTCATGTACATTTACTGCAACACATAGAAAAACTCCACGCATTATATATATACAGTACACACTTAATTTTGTACAAACCGTGCTTACTTTTGCTTTAGACACCGAACCTGCGTCGCCATCTTCGTCTTCAGACGTCGCACAGTCGTTTGCCGGTATGGATTTGAGTGGCGGAATGATGGGTTTCATTGCATGTGGTAGGTATTTGTATTTTTCGAATTTTTTTACTTTGCAATAGCGCTTTGCGAGAATAAAATATTTATGCATGGAGATATTATATATAAGAGCGTATCTTTTTGTTACACACGGCCGACCCAAATAGCGCGGTGGGGAAACGATTTCGTTTTCTACGTGATAACCGGACGAGAGGCCGTGGTTCGCCATATGATTAAGCCGTCTTGTCGGCTTTCCTCTCCTCGGGATAAACATGTAAATCCTATCCTATATTAAATGATTTTTCGCGGCCCACGAGTACTCCCGAAAAAAATAAAGTAGCCTAACGTTTACAGACGATGACTGTTATCTTTATTTGCATTGTCTGCGATTAATTTTTTTCTTGATTATCCAATTAACATTAAAAAGTCCAAAATTCAGACTCTCTCTAAGTTTGAAAATGCGTAGGGATACGAAATAACTTATATAATTTCAATAACCACAACATTCATTTTCAGAGAGTTCGCGTGATTTCATGCAAAAATCCAAGTTCGAGGAAGCTGTGCATCTGATGGAAGATCTTTCGCCGTCACCCTATCAGCAGCTAATGATGTCAGAATGCTACTTTCAACTTGGAAGAGAAAGAAACGCATTGAGATGCGTTGAAAAATTACAAACAATGATGACGTCATCGCCGAGACCTAAGATCGATGACGTCATTAGATTAGTTGGTATTTACATTTCTGGTTCGTCCCATATTCGTGCATTGATTTTACTCTCTTGTTGTGCTAAGTTGTATAAGTTCGATTCAAATCCGAATGAGTCGGTTAATGGGATCATGCATTGCGCATTGGAATGTAGCGACGTGATCAAAGCTATGGCTCAGAAAGGCGATAAAATGAAAGCGATTGCAACAGATGTTGGCTTGGAAAAGATCACTGATATGTTGGAAGAGCTGAGGTCAGTATCAGGGGCTGGTAAGGATAATAAGGCGAATATGGAAGCGAGATGCTTGAAATATGTTGCTTGGGGTTACCATGCCGTGGGTAAACATAAGGATGCAATCAAATACTGTGAGAAAGGTATAGATTTGATGATTCAAACGTTCAGGTCGAACGCAGAAAAATATAGAGTGTTTGGGGATCTATCAAACGACATTGGTTCTGCGTATGATGATCTCGGTGATTATACTAAGGCCGAATCATTTTATTTGCAATCTCTGGTAGGCTTGCACGTAATTGACAAAAATCAATTCCGTAATTACGGCAAAATCAATTACGTAATGACCCCGTAATTGCGATATTTTTCCACGCATTTAAACCTATCATAACAACCAATTGAATCCACTTCTTTTCCGAAGGGGACATTGAAGTTGGGTTTTCATATTCTTGGCAGTACTACACGCCGGCGGCAGATGTTAAATACAAATATCAAGGAGTGAGTTCAAATTAATTTTATTCTGATTTTTATCTTTTGTGTTAGCTTTGGTTTTCCTTTATCACCTTCGCAAATTAACCGTCCCATTTTTATGCGATCAATTTTATTTTATCATTACCGACACTGGTATACGGATATTTATGAAAACGATAGTTTTTTAAAACCACCTTAGTACTGAATAAAAATTACGGGTTTCTAATTTATTAACCAACGAGGAGCGTATTCTCTCGTTTGATTATACTTGCGATTTCCTCGCTACGAAGACTTGTTTTTGCAGCGTCTTCTGCATTATCCGACATTACTGCCTTGTTAGCATTTTATAATAATAATTATTGATGTCGACTTATTGACGATATTCCGATTACCATGCTTCATTTTACATTTAATCATTTCGCGGACTGAATGTTTATAACATTATTTGCGATAAATTTAGATCAAATATTATTTATTTGAGTATAATTTAAATATGGAACTTATATGATATGCCTTCTCCGAAAATACAAAGTTATATCGCAAAACAATTCATTTTGTGACATTTTTTTAACACACTCGACATTTATTTGCTAACTCAAGTCGGCGATCCTATCGGCCAAGATTGACACAAGTTTGGCCGAGTGCCGGTGGTATTCAAGTCGACGATAAACAAAAATAAGTTGCCGCATTTGGTAAGACAGTTAATCATATATGGCCGAAATATTGAGAGGAATTGTGAAAAACATCATGAGCAAGGCCAAGTCAGGACTGATATATAACGATAAAACCGTTAACATAACATCAAGATTTTGTAATAGAAAATGGATCTCGCACAGAATAAACACACTGGCTCATATTTGATTATATATGATAGCAGTTAAATTTTTAGCGGTCCGCGAGGAATCCGTCGTTTTGCTGTTTCTCTGCCGTCTCAATCGCTTTACCGATGCCGAGAAGACGAAGTTGCGTTGGTTCATTACGCAATCTCTCTTTTGTCGTCATATTTCTATTTGATAAGCGCGACATTAATTATCACGGCGAGGTATTGGCGCGAGTGATCAATCGCTCTTTTCGCTTATTTGGTTCCAATTCGTCGCGAAAGCTCTTCGTTAAATTTCACAAGATCGTCGTGTTGAAAGGTTATGGATATTTTCCTGTTTATACCCCAAGTCTAAAATAAAACAGCCAAAAACAGTATGATATTCCATGTTCATATATCAAGTGTTGATATTAACAATAAAGAATGGTTAGGCAATGCTAATCCACACTTGGTGGGGAATTCCCACTATTTAAACGCGTGACTATAAAATAGAAACGGAACATATATACCATAAGTAACGGAAAACTGGAACAAGTAAATAATAAATAAAAGTAAAATGGATACAAATGTTTGATAGACCATGTTTGAAAGATTGATCTCCTGCGTTCCTTAGTCATTTCACCCGAAGAAGTTGAAACCGTGCGTGTTAGCGTCCATCGGTCTTAACACAATTCTTCCCCCTATCTACGGTTATTATGTACATTGGCCATGGCCATGCTAGATAAGATGCGAGAGAAGTTGAAACCAGGTGTGTTGGCGTCAATCGGTCTCAACGCAATTTTATCCCTTATCTACGGTTAAGTTACGGGAGAAGTTAAAACCAGGTGTGTTGGCGTCAAACGGCCCTACTCAATTCTTCCCCCTTAACTACGTTAATAATTTACATTGGCCATGCCAGAGAAGTTGATAATAGGTTAGTAAATGGCAACGCGTCATGACTTCCTTCACCTACCTAACAAGAGAGAGAGAAGTGAGAAAAACGGCTGCGAATACCGGAACTCTAACTTCTTCTACTTGTTGAGCTTTCATTTTTCGCAATCGACGAAACTGACTGCTTTGAAGAAAGCTCGTTTCAATGCAATAATTACGACTTTACGTAATTCGTAACTTTCCTTCCGTAACTCCAAATAATTACGTAATTCCGTAAATCCGTAAATTACGTGCAAGCCTAATCTCTGGAAGCGTATGAAAAAGTCGAGAATTGGCCTAATGACAGCGAGAAACAGGGTAGAACAGAAAGAACAAAAAAAAACTTGAGAAACGCTCAAGACAATACAAAAAATAATCGCCCGCATAAATATAATACCAGTGGACGACGTTCTTCCGTTCTTCCCCAAACTATTTCCTCGAATAAGTTTAGATGATTAAAACTTCAGATCAACGTATATGAAGTAGATGCAGAAATAAAACTTCAGGTTTCCGATCATTTATAAAAATAATTTACCAGCGCAATGCTTTCACATATTGTAGGATATCAGTCGCTGCCTGTATAGGCCCTTGTTCGGAGAGAAATACATGACCAAGTGCCAAACAATAAAGTAGTCCTTGCAATCTCTAAATTATATGTAATCTTAAATTTTTTTGTGTTTCTGTGGGAAATTTTGACTTCGGTAAGCATTTAAAATCCCGTCTCAATTTCGAAAAATATGTATTTCGGCACCCTACACTTCAGAATATCTTTTATTGTTCCAAAAACGTTGGTTAGTCCCATGCTAAAACTGTTACATATTCAACTATTTTCTTGCTTTTGCATACTTTTATTGAAATAATTTCAGTGTTGTGTATTGTGAACATTTATTTTTGCTTTTAGTTCGAAGTGGCTTTTGCTTATTGAAAGCTTGGGAAGCAATTATGTATTCATAATTTCAAGTCAGTTATTGTATTTAATTTATCGAGTGTTTTATAATTTTTGTATTGATAGATGTAGTGATTGAATAAATATAATCGAACCTATTTATCAAGTGGTTTCTAAGTTTGTCGGAATTTGTCAGAAAGAACATCGCCCTTCCATATAGTCTCCAGTTCGTAAGAAATTGGTTGCAATGGCCGAGCGGTTAAAGCGTTAGACTTAGCTGCATTGGCATGGCGTTTACGTGCTCAGTTTGGATCCTTACAAATCGTTAGATATCAGTGGCTACTTGGTACTCGCACAGAGGCTTGTTTAGAGCGAAAGGCATGAATGAACGTTGCAAAAATTAGGTGCGTCGTACTCGTGGGAAGAATTTCAGTCTTTATAAAACATGTCGATCCAGTACAGATCTTAACATATTCATAGGTTTGTTGAGAATGTTGTGTTCAACGTAATTTGCGGTTGCGTCGACAAAATAAAGGAAATATACTCAACACCCAAAACACCACGAAAGTCTAGGGACATATAATGTGAAATAAAGTCCAAAAATTTAAAACAAGCACATTGATAGTTAGGGCCAGCCATGGTGAGACGGTTCCACGCATACCCATTCTACAATCTGATCAAGCTTGGCGACATAATAAGTGGGCACTGGAAACAAATTTACATAGAAATTATAGTTAGAGTTTTGATTTAATTAAAAGTTCGGACCTCCTGGAGTATGCGCACCAAGATGGCGCACAACCTGAACTAAAGTTGTGTACCAGGTTAGGGTTCAGGTTATGCGACATCTTGGTGCAATACTTCAGGAGTAGCAAAAGTTCAAGTATCTGGACAACGAATATTCTAGTGGGTTTAGGCTTGTTCAGGAGGTAAAATTTTTTGCAAGCAAGCAGACACAATACCGGCAGTAGACTAGAGAGTACATTGACCGTCATCGCCACCGGTTACTTTCCCCGCCATCAAGCATCTGAAACAAATAACTGACTTTTCAGAGACCAATACGAAAATCATATCTATTATTCTGCTCTAAACTTCGTGTGATTATTAACACATGTGATTGAGGCCACCAAGAATAGCTTAGCAATCACAAACTACTTGAACACATATATTTGTTGTCACGGCGCTTTAGCCAGAAGAATGTTTAATGAACCATGCGAAATGCTGTCAGTGTTCCGGACTACTGTTTTTTTTATATTTTATTTTGATGTCCTAAATCAGGGCTACTCAACTGGCGGACCGCGGTCCAAATCCGGACCTTTCAGGTATTCTATTCGGACCGCGCATAATTCTTTATTTTGGATCATTAGCCCCACTTTTGATATTTATATTTATAAAATCATTTTTAAAGATTTAAAAATATATATGAAAGAACTATAACGCCATAGCAAACAATCTTGATTAGCTAAGAATCATTAGTCGGCCGAAGAATTGCATGTTTAAGGATGCCGAAATATAATTTCTGGAAAGTCCGGACCCCAATATTTTTGAAGTTTTGTGTGCGGACCTTCGGTAAAAACGGTTGAGTAGCCCTGTCCTGAATCATTCGCTGTGTTTGCGAATTCCGAAGAAGTTTGCTAATAATTAAACATCTTAATCGATGACGCCTTGTAGATATAACCCTCATAGTTTCAAGTATTTTACCGTTTGCCGTTGGCAATGTGTTGTTGTGACACTCACTGACAACGAGTTGAACAAAGTAATTTTATTGCAGCACCCAGAGCCTTGATCGTACAATCCTTGTTATAGATTGAGATTGGAAGCCTTGATTAGAGAAGCTGCGTTCCCCAAAATGTGAACATTGGCGATATGGCAAATCTTTGCGTTATAAGATTTCGATAACTCAAAATATAGTATCGCCTAAGGACATGCTTTCCCAGAGCCTTGTTCGAAGAAAAGTTTGAACTGCGAATCCACATTAAGATCTATCTGTAGATGGAAAATTAATGGTTTTGTGCGAATAAATTTCAGGAAGAATGTAGTTTTGCAGGAAATAACTACTGGGAGAATGTACGTTTGCGAGAATATAGTTTCGCGAATGCATAGTTTTGTGAGAGATAGTTGAAAATCAGATCTGAAGTTTGTTTGCCTTGAGTCGGATTTTAAAACTTCCCAGCGTTGGAATGTTCAATTTTCTACAGACAGAATTCCAGACTTTTATTATGGTATGAAACTCCAAATGATTTCTAGAAACCCTAAAAAATAATTGACTTTACGAAGCATTTACGCAAAGTTTTTGTTATCGAAATTTTTAATTATCTCTAGTTGAAGGTCGGAGCCGAAATTCTCACAAACTCGGATTATGAAACAAATTATTTCCATCTGGGGTTCGTCTTGAATTTTCCTCCATTTCGAAGCCCTGCCTTCGATGTAATGTGTGTTATAATTTCGCGTCGATTAAGCCAATTACTAATGTTCAAAACCAGTCTCAATTTGAACTATTCATTCCAACGAAATCCTGGTATGATAAACAGTTAAATATTAGTTAAACACGATTGCGTGAGAAGTGTTTTGTGACAGATTTATTGGCCACATCGACTCCTCTCGTTATTTGTTTTGACGATAAATAGCTTGGGTCTTTAAATCTAATGAATGTATGATGATCATAAATCTTTCCAGTCGTCTAGTACGCTATGCTATTTGTTTATGATTTATAAGTCGCACAGGCTATCAATCATAATCATAAACGCAATACAATGTGCGCAAACTAGTTGGCCTAAACCAGGGGTCGACAACCAATTGTCGTTGGCGTGCCAAAATTAAGGGTTGCAAGTCATTGGCGGGCCGCACATATTTTTAGAAAGTTGAAAACCGAGCGGATGATGCTTTTTATAATAAAAATCAAGCCGTGATACATTGCATTGCATCTCAAAAAATACCATTTGAATATTTCCGGCGCTATTGAACCTTTTGCAATTAGCATCAACTTCTCTGCGTTTAATTGCCATTTGTCTAGTTACAATTAAATTTTTATGAGTTCATTAAACAAGTAATTGTGAATTTTAATATAATTCAGTCTACACGTGTTCCTCTATCTTGCCTCTCCTTAAAAATACTTGGATTTAAAAAGAGATTGTCCTTTGGAGCGTTCCCAACAATTACTACGTGCGCCACGTTTAACAATAAAAAGCCAACAAACAAAAACGAAAAATATATGCGTTACAGCCAAATGAAAAAACAAATCAGAGTTAACCTATACAAAGTCATGCCGAATGGTACCTAGTGACGGGATTTGCTCAAGACCCCTAAGTACCGATCCGTGGTTCTTTTTTAAAAACCTTTATCAAGATCAGTAAAATTTTTAGCCGAAACATGATCCCAACCAAGTCACTACTTCAGGGTGGTCCAAGGTTGTGGGCTCCACGGGCCACAAAATTATTTTGGCATTGGTCGCGGGCCACAATAGTAACAAGAATAGGTGAACAGTGCAATACAATACAAGCACTTCTATTGTGTAAACACATAGTTATCAGGCATTGCCACCTATGCTAATGGAATCCGCATCCGATGATTAGTTTTCTATCATGCCTATATTGTTAGCATATATTCCCCACCAAAACGATAGGAATCCAGGTAACAATTCAAACTGTCAATCACATCTTCAACTTCGCTGGTTGCTTCAGCTAGCCATCATACTAGTCAATTCAGTCACAGTAGTGATATAACAACAATGTCAAATGATTTTTCTGATTTATTTTATGAGAAGCGATTTAAAATACGATATTTTGGTTGCTTTCCGAATGCGGCGCGGGCGACAGATAATAGAGCGGCGGGCCACATGTGGCCCGCGGGCCTGGGTTTGGACCACCCTACATTACTTTTGTTCAACGAATTACACACGTTCTCAACGGTAAACTCTGTTTAATGCATTTAGGTGCAGTAAATTATTATAAATATAGACTAGATAAACGGACTATTCACAAAATGGCAGAAGGAAAACCTTCCGTTATCGTCAATGTCAACATCAAGCATCAGGAAGAAACGAATATTGCTGGAGACAATGTCGGGTAAGAAATTTAAAAGTAAAACTTTTAGGAATTAATAAAATTTCCATAATTACCGCGTAGCGTTACAGAATAAAGTTTGTAAACGTAATAGTAATTCCTTTTGAATATACGAATCGATGCCGATACCAGTAAACAGACAGTCAACCTCTGACTCCATAGTTAAAGTTTAGACCAGATCACAAGCAGCTACTGTTACTATCGCATGTAAATCAGCTGACAATAACATTGGTCCATTTTATTTCCAGGCAGAAGACGGATGTTAAAGCCGCAGAGATTGCCCAGGTCGTCGTTCCAGTACCAGGTATATTCTCAACCTAAATATGCTTTTTCATATTCTCAGTAGCAATAGAAGTTTGTTATCTAAATACCATCTCATTCTAAGGAAACTCAGAAGCTACCACATCAAACACACTACAACATGACTCGGTACCAACAACTGTTATCAGAGAATCAGAGGGAAAAAAAGGAAATAAGTCACCAATGATGTTTGCACAAAGTATGTCAACGTTTTACTTATTTATTTGAGAAACAGAGTGCATTTCATAATGCACAAGCACTATTGCACAAATGTATAAAAACTATTGTTACTAGTCGTCTTTAGCCACAGTTCTCGGGAAGCGGCTAAGACGACCTTTCTAATGATAGCAAAGTGATGTTTCTTGAATGTTCTCGGTAACAAATTACATGTTAAAGTATTCCTGTTTATTTACCGTTACCCACAAAATCATAATCCGGGCCGGATTCAGACGTTGAAGCTAAGCCATACCATTTGTGATGACTTCGTAATATATATAGACGCTGGATTAGCTTTGATATACATGTGCATTTACTGTAAGCAACAATGACATATATATATATATATATATGTATATACATTTGCACATTTTACATTTGCAACTTATTCAACTTTGCTTTAGACAACAAGCCCAAATCGCCATCCACACCTTCTGACGTCAAAAAGTCAATTGCAAAGATGAATGAGAGCGGCGGAATGAAGGATTTCATTGCATGTGGTAGATATTTGTTCTTTCTACATTTTGATATGAAACTTACAATTATTCTCGCGGTTATAGGCGCAATGTCGGGCTCTCACTCACGATGTAATAAAGTGGGTGGATAGGCCGGAACCAAGCATTATAGTTTTTTTTTAAAAACCTATTGCGTGATCGTCTTGTTCGGAGCGAACCACTTTTGCATTCGGTCAACAACAGAACCAGATTGTGGCCCCCAAACCGCAAGTTCTTTCTGAAATGTTGATGAAAAAAATTACTTAGTTCGAGACAGAATTCTGGGCCAGAACAACGAAATAATATTGCTGGGTTTCATCGGCACTGGGACTTTATAGTCTGAAAAAATTAGAATCGACTGCCGGGTTAAAAAAAATTCTCTTGAGAAAATCAAATATAGAAGAAAATTTACATGCAAAAGATTCTGAATACAAAAAAATCAACTTACGAAAATTCTTTTCGTAAAAATATAACTTCGACTAACGTAAAATTCTCGGCGCTCCGGAGTATGTGTACCAAGATGACGCACAACCTGAACCATAACCTGGTAAACAAACTATGTTCAGGTTGTGCGCCATCTTGGTACACATACTTCGGGAGCACCAAATTCCCTACAAACAAAAGGCCTAAAACAAAAACCGCGGCCTCGGCAATAAATCTAAAAGCAAAATGTTTTTTATAATTATTTGTTTTCATCTCTAGTTTCGACAGGGGGCGAACATAACGGGGACTTTTTTCAATTCTTGCAATTTAAAGCGTATAAAATAGCTATTAAATATTATTTATTACTGATTATATCGTTATCCCGGCGTCATTTAGAACAATATCGTTAAATTTAAGTTAACGGTTTTAATTTATAATCAAAAATAAAACACGATTTCCGGTTCTAATTCTACATCATTGGCGTATGGAAATTTGGGAATCGGGTACATTCATTCGATTATGGCGATGGTCGCGTAATAACATTTGCGTTTTCTGCATCAACGAATGAATCCGTGGGCAAATTAAAAAATAAAGCCCGTGGTAGCTGCTCTGATAGACGCCCAGCAACTATCTGCCATCCCATTTGTCTGTTTGTTTCCCGTTGGTACGTACAATGAGTCAGTTTTAGTTTCTAACGAAATTCAGTGAGAAGAAGATGATACGCGCGCGTATCAGTTAAAACAAAACAAAAAATGAAAAAAAAAATAGAAAAGCAAAACGAAAGAATAAAAAACAAACAGGAAACAAAAAAAAAAAAAAAAAATGAAAAAGGGTATATTCTAATTTTGGATTTCATGTGCATGTGCTCAATTTCGTACTTTACGTTCCCTCTCAGCTGTCAACTTTTATTGCCTCCTCCGACCGCCTTCCTCCCACTATTCACGGCCTTCGCTTAGCTTAGCTTTTTTTTTAGAAAGTTTTGACTTTGATTACTGAAATATTATCTCTATTATGTGAAATATTCCGAGCAAGGCGTTCGAAAGTATATGCCCGAACGCGTACAAGTTTAACAACCACAACAACATTTTCAGAGACTTCTCGTCATCTCATGCAAAATAACAAGTTCATCGAAGTTGTGGATCAGATCAAAGATCTTTCGTCATCGCCATTCCAACAGTTAATGATGTCAGAATGCTACTTTCAACTTGGAAAAGAGATAAACGCGTCGGAGTGCGTTCAAGCGTTACAAACAATGATGACGTCATCGCCAAGACCTAAGGTCGGTGACGTCATCAAATTGGTCAATATTTATATTTCTGATTCGTCTCATATTCGTGCATTGATTTTACTCTCTTGCTGTGCTAAGTTGTATAAGTTCGATTCGAACTCGAATAATTCGGTTCCTGGAATCAGAGATTGCACATTACATTGTAGCAACGTGATCAAGGCTATGGCTCAGGCAGGTGATAAAATGAGAGCGATTGCAACAGATGTTGGCATGGAAATGATCACTGACATGTTGAGAGATTGGAGGTCAGTGTCGGGAGCTAATAAGACTAGGAAGGCGGATAAGGAAGCTCAATGCTTGAAATACGTAGGTAGGAGTTACAATGCCGTTGGTAAATATGACAAAGCAATCAAATTTTATAACGAAGGTTTAGATTTGATGAAAAAAACGTTTGGGTTGGACGCCGCAAAATATAGGGTGTTTGGGGATCTATTAAACAACAGTGGTACTTTGCAATATAATCTCGGTGATTATTCCAAGGCTGAATCAGTTTATTTGCAATCCTTGGATGCGTATAAAAAAGCTGAGGATTGGCCTAGTCACGAAGAGCAACAGAGAAGGATAGAATCTACACAGAAAAGTTGGGAAACCACTCAAAAAAAAATAGTCCGCAGAATCAGGGAACAATCTTGTGAGATGAAACTGCCAAGTTCAATAGCTTCAATTGATGGTTTGAATTGATTTGGTTTATTAGAAGTTCAGATATATTCAGATGCAATAGAAAAATAAAACCGCAAGTCTCCGATCATTTGTGATTATTATTTCATTTACGCGATAATTCTTATTTATAGTTTCAGTCGCTTTGTCGCCTCGTCAGTCCCCCTTGTTTCTGAGTAAGTGCAACTAATGCACCAACATAATTCTATATATATTCAGCACCTCTTAAAATTTCAGTGGTAGCCCTTAACTTTGCTGCATTATCAGTCTCCTTCATTTTTAAGTTTGAGTGATGTCTTAGAACAATTACAACAACAATTTTTACCCTTGATGTTCGTATCGTATTAATATAAATATATGGCGTAAATAAGAATTGATTTTGAGCGCTGTATATTTTTCGTCTGCTTTGAAGTGTATCTATATTTTATATCACGTGACAGCTTTGAATATAAATGTGTTTTTAGTTTCATTATTTCAATGAATAGGAATTCAATTCATTTTAGTTTGTTGATTTCTAACAGACCAAGCCGAATCCGAACCTAAGATCTTTAACGTACTATGAATCCATGTTTTCCATTCTCTTGATTAGACGATTACGAACCTCATTTCCGCCACTATAGACTGTGCTGTGCGTATAATCACAAAGTCTAGCACACAGACGTAGTCATCATGGAGGGGCATGAGGATCGGAACTCCCTTTCAAAATGAAATTTTTTTCCTGTATCATACATACATGGCAATTTTCGTAACTTTTAGACGCCAAAGACTCTCGAACCCTTACATTTTCCGGCCGGGTCAGCTGGTTGTCACGGTTTAACTTGGAAATTTCGGAACCGCCCCTATTAAAATTCATGGCTAAGCCCGTCGCCTAGCGATTTAAAAATTAAACGTTGGAGTCGCAGATGAACATTTCGGGTTCACAGTGTCACCCATAATGTTATGTTTTGGTAATTTTGAACCGGAAAGATTCTAGCCTTTCGAAGTACCAGGATAATACATATTGTTAGATATCAATGGTTGCTCGCGCCGGGCCTTGTTCGGAGCAAAGAATGTGTCTTAGCACCATAAAAAAAGATAGTAGCTCCCACTTTGTCATCTTCAATTTGTCTGTTAATAATACTAAACCAACTTCATATTTTTAAATTTTCAACTTTTGAAATTACGACTCTCTCTCAAATTCAAATTTCTGTCTCCGATAAAAACATGCCGACTCACACACCCCTCTGGTTTAGACGTCATATATTATCCCAAAGGTATTAGCGACCCCTTTGCTACAATAGCAATCTTTCATCATTTTAATCGATTGGGTCAGTGTATATTTTAGACATGTATTTTCGCTTTTAATATAACGTAGATTTTGGTTAATGTAGTTTGTGTAGTGATTATGAATTCATTTTTAACCCCGCTCCAGTGATTCTCGACTTTGCAGAATTATTCTCAAATTCTATGATTCATACTTTTAAAAAACACACAAACTAACCGATATCCCATAGTTATTTCTCATATTATTTTCGCCGATTCATAGCATGAAATCTGACATTTAACAGGCAAGGTCTTGGTTTCGAACCCTCTTACAAATCATACTGATTGTATTAATCGCTCCATTTAATATCGATGCCCAAGTACAAACTTGCCTTTTATTGATCATAATCCACCTGATAAATGACTGACAACCCATGTCCGGCAATGCTCATTTATATTGATTGTATTGTAATAAAATGCATCAAATTTACTGTTATTTTACAATATTTCAAGTCAGTTACTGATATTTTACTTTAATTCATTTATTTTTTTTATGATTTTAGTGTAAAGTTAGTTTTAGAGTCTGTAACTTTCATTGTACATTATCATGTCATTTTACATTAATTCATTGAGTGTTTTACCATTTTTTTGCAGCGATAAATGTAGCTATTGATTAAATGTAATCGAGCCTATTGATCGAGTGGTTTCTTAGTTTGTCGGAATTTGTCAGAAACAATCTTGAATAAAGATCCTCGCCCTCCCACATATTCTCCTGATTGGGTGCAATGGCCTAGCGGTTAAAGCGTTAGTTAGACTTGGTTGCGTTGACATTGCAGTTACATACTCAGCTCAGGTTTATATCCCATGCCCACTAAATCGCACAAGGTGTAATAAAATGTAAGCAATGTCGAACTGGAACGATTCTGGTTCTTAAAACATATATTTATTGACACCAGTGGCTGCTTATTAGGGCCGTGTTCGAAGCGAACGAATTACATGAGTCATTTTATATCGGATCGATGTAAAACTCCTGCGAAGTGAAATTAATTTTCGTACAATAAATAATTGATTTGAACCTGTAGGCAGTATAGAATGGATAAAGAGGTTCATCGCAGGTACAACTGTTTCGATTCCGAGGTGAGGTTTCTGAAATCAATCATGTGTGCCGTAGGTCCGCGAAATTATACACTGATGACAAAAGCATTATCAATCTTTAGCGGCTCTCGGGCCTCCTAAAACTAAACTTATGGTGTTTTCCGTTTTATTTGCAAAATTTTATATTGCCGATCTAGAACATATGAGTCGCAGATTCACAGACTCATTGTTATTCGTTATTCAGCATCTCATCGCCGTTGAATATAATATAAATTTATTGAGAATAATTAACGACGTAAGGTGCTCACGACCTACCGGTACATAGCGGGTCACGCTGTCAAAAACAATCGGCGATTTTAACAAAATGCAATTGCACGCGTTATTAGCGACTTCTCCCTTCTTTTAAATATTTCAAAATCTGACCCATAAGACATCCCAACCTGACTGCACCACTGAATTAAGACATCACACAATACCTCACCATATAAACAAGCAAATATCTTGTCTGTCTCTACTCTAGGGTTACCATATTTGAAAAAGCAAAATTCCGGACAGTGCATGACTATTTTTATGATCTCGTAGTAAAAAATATGCGCATGGTACGAAATAACAACGTTATGTATTAGCAGTGTGCATAGTACGATTGCAGATGCGGTAAAATTTCGGATTCCGGACATTTGGGCATTTTTTAAGTTCTTCCCGGACGCAAAATTTAACCCTAAATCTTGGACATGTCCGGAATTTTCCGGACGGTATGGCAACCCTAACCTGGTACACATAAAAATTCAAATAATGAAATCCAGTACTCACTATCTCCATTTTATTTCCAGTTTCCTGCTTTTGATACAGTCGTTCATGCTCGGCATAGGAATAAATCCAAGTATAATCTATAATATGAGCTTGACCATACATGGCAGACTGTCAAAACATACCTTACGTACTGTAGTAGTAAATGTAAACTTTAAATGTAAAATTAAAACAAGCACATTAATAGTTATGGCCATGCATGGACAGTAGGGCTCAATACAAGCGCAAAAAAAACATAGGATAGACAAGAGTAGAGGTGGACGAGGTTTTCGGGCAGGGGGCCAAATTTATTTTACCTAAAACATCAAAATTTGGTTTCAGTTTGGTCGTGGCAGCATCAGGTGGGACAAATTAAATTACTCAACGGGCCGGATTTGGCCTGCGGACCGTAGTTTGCCCATGTCAGGACAAGACACTAACTGCCCATCGCACTCTAAGATGACAATTTTAAACTAATATTATTTAAAAATTGCCTGATGCTCTTATGGCGCAAAAAACTATCAGTCTCGCATAAAACGTAATTTTGTGTAATACAGGCAAATGGTCAGTGTGGTTGCGTAGAAGCGTTCTTGTCGATGTTAAGTCCTGCACAGTTACCATTGGCATTTTCGTCGGAAAATTAGATGCAAATCCTAGCGAGTTGGATAATTTTGCCGACTTCCCTATAAGTAAGCTTTTCTGATCTTAGTAATATTTTGCCACCGCTGCCCTAGCTCCGAAATATTAACTATCCTAGCATTTCTGTTTGCCCCGATGGATAATTTTGACTTGAGCCCAAAAAATTCAACAAAATGAAACTGAAAACAAGTTAGCGCTAATTGCTACCAAACAAATCCTACATTTTTCGCCAAATTGATCCATTGCCAATTCGTATTTATGAACATGATAGTTTTGGGAAAGCCGAATAAATTACTTCAGTTTTTTTTATACAAAATGAAACATTTCCAATTTCCCAAGCAATTTAGGTATATAAATATAAGTTTATTTCGACTCCATAATCGATAATCGCATAACAAGCAATAAATGATTAATAAAAACAAATAGAAACTGATTATATAACAAAATATATAAATACAGTATACGATAGATGTTCATTGTTGTGAAATGGAGAACCACATATTCCGATATCGTATATATTTTCGGCTCGCAGTGTGATGCATCGAGAAAAGTGAGATTATTACTGGACGGAAGGATTGCTGGACTCGCTATGTGGGAAATAAAAAGTTGAAATTACGTTTTCGAGAAAATATACATGCCATGACGCTTATAAGCTATTACCAGAAAGTAAGTGACAAGCCAAACTTCATTTAATGTATTTTCTATGAGCTCTTCAGTGATTCCTCCCATCTATGACTAAGTAATCTTTCGAAAATGTAAACATTTTACTTGGCCATGCATGGCGGGTTGAGTGATGAAATCGTGAACGAGAGTAGATCGTAAAATCAATTGTGAAATTCGATGTTACAGCGCATACTGCCTCGTTTGCGAATTGTTGCGCCAATCATCATCGGAAATGATTACATCCGTTATATTTCGAACATTTTTGCACTAATAATTAGGACGTGACATTATCAAAATCGTCGAGTGAAATGGTGAATTTGCAAATTCCGTAAGTAAAATTGTGAATCACTCGGAAACGAAGCTATAATGGTTGCCAGGATATTGTTTTTTCAAAAGAACGTTGAAACTTAAAAAATCAATCATAATAAGTGTCTGACCCACTTTTAGGCACAAAAGCACTCGAGCGCAAAAATTTAGCATTAGGTCGCATATGTATAATAAAATATCATTTAAGAAGTGCTGTTTATCAACGTCATCTCATCTTATGACCACGTAGAAATTGCCTTTATTGTCGAATTATTTAATCATATTTTAAATCAACATTCAGGATTGATGCAATCGCTTTGCGAGGTTTATCTTTCTAATACGAAAACCATAGTAAAGCATAAAAAAATTAATTATTGTCATCATAAATATCTGCATCTCGGTATCGATAATATTAGCGCTCGCTTAAAATTCGGACGGTAAATTTACAAAAGTTGATAAATAAGTAAGATCAAAACCAACGCACAAAATTGAAGTAATATTAATTTGGATTTCGAAATCAATCCTTAATACCTATAGCAAAATGTTGCCGACGTAAACGCACGGGTATGCCCGAAATATAAAACTTCGACGTCCGCCAACCCGTAAAATAAATCCTTGCAAAAATAAAACGCTTTGTTGCCGATTTTTCAATGTTGTATTTGATTTTCAAAGAGAGTATCGGCCGACAAAAAAATATTCGTTATTCGTTAAAAATA